ATTAGACAATATTTTGCTGAGTGTGTTATTGTGCTGATATCTTGGACTACCGTGGACAGCTGACTCCTGAATTTTTTGATATTCTTCATATTCTGTGTGGTCAGTTCACAGCAGTAATATAAATTAATAATTTCCAACAAGTTTTATGGGCATTTTTACCTTTAAGACATTTTTTTCTAAAAGTGTGCACCATCTTTTGAGTCAAATTCTTGCATTTGGGTTGTTACCAAGCAAATTAAATCAGTATCAACAAAATGTATCTTTGCAATGATAAACACAGAAGCTGCATTAGAAATGTCATTTAGATGCATTTACACAGTTTAATGCAGCTCTGAGGGACATTAAATACTTTAACCTGCAATTACAAATGCATAAATAATGTTTTGACATTTAAAAAATAAAACATTGAAAACTGATGTTTGAAATTATTTTAAAAATGAAAAGGCATCAAGTCACTGTTAATAAGTGAGTCATTGCGTTTGAACCCAATCATTTAAACGGGGTAATTCATTCAGGGACAAAACAGAGTCCTGTTGCTCAGAGACGCAAAACAGCACTGTGGTTGTGTTTGAAATGATTTTTGTTGGAGAAATGGAGCAAAAACAGGAAATATGGTGTCTAAAACTTGTCTCTTAATATTAACTACTTGTTTATTGAACTGTTGTATAAAATCAATATCACATTTGTAATCATGCTTACTTTTGGAGAAAAAAAACGGCACTCTTCGTGTGATATTAACTATAAGAAACGATATAAATTTTCTGCCCCATATCTTAAATTATGTGATAATTCTAAACAGGGGCATACATTTCATCTAACAGTTGGGGAGTGGGGGGGACAATAAACATAAAATTTCACAAGAGTGATTTTTGAAGGGGACACAAATAATACAGCTAAAATTGTACTAGTAAGGATATGTAAACACAGAGGAAAGCCTTACTACTATTAGTGCAGCAGGGAGACCATGCCAAATTAGACAACGTCAAGCTGTTGTGGTCACGCAGAGACAGCGCTCGTGTCCGTTGTATCCGTCACAGTGTTGCCAAGTCTGCGGTTTTCCCGTGGAATTGAGCTACTTTATCACTGTTGCCGCGGGTTGTTTTTCCATGTCCGCGGGTTGAAGTGACCCCAATAACGTGTATTTTAGCCCCCGGAACACTATTTTTACTGGGGGACCCCCTCAAAACTCGGATAGTTTGGGGAGCAATTGGGAGTTTTTTGTTGTAAAAAACCTGGCAACCCTTTCTGTCAAGCAGGTAATTATTGCTAACATAGCGACTCATCGAAAAATACATTGGCATCATCTGTATTAAAGATAAAATAATCACTTCATCCGATGTTTAAGTGAATAAAATAGCCTTGACAGCCTTACTTGCTGGAGTTCCACAACTATTGACTTTGTTCTCTCTCACCGGACTCGTGTGCATGTAGGTGATGTAAAATAAGAAAGCAGGCATTTGGATCAAAGCACTGTGAGGCAAGGGAGGGGAGACTCAAAATGTTTCTAAACTTAAAATGCATTTTTGCCCCGTTTGTG